GGATTTTGCTGCAGCAGAAATCCTGAAACACACAAACTTCACCCATGCACGCAGGCACACTCGCATGCACATGCACCCGCACTGTGCCGCACACACCCACCCACCCACACACACACATGGTCTGATGCGGCCACACCAGGTCTGATGCTGCATTATGTGCGCTGCAATAGGATTTTGCTGCAGCAGAAATCCTGCAACACACAAACTTCACCCATGCACACAGGCACACTCACACACACCCACACACACACAGTGCAATGCTGGGAGGGCATATCTGATGAAACAGGATTTCTGTATGAGATTGCAAATTTCCGTTTGAGCAGGATTTCTGTATCAGCGCGCACAATTTTTCACGAGGGAAGCCTCCATGAATGTACCCTATGCAACATAGCTAAGAATGTTACTTGCTTCAAAATTCTCAAAACCGCAACTCTCTACAGAAGTAGACATGGAATTTCGTGAGCTTGGGACAGCAACAATCACAATGATGTCCAAAGGTCAGACGACCAAATTGTTCTGTGACCTAAAGACGGTCTGGCAACTGCAACCTGACCTGTTTTATTTTCCACACAGCAGAAGTCCTCAGAATATTGTCATGAGAGAGGATTGATTGCGCCTGCAATCTGCATCACAAGCAGAATCGATGTGACCAGAAACAGTTAAAAGTGCGAAAAGGACAAAGCCAAAAAGTTGCACAACTGTCTCATCAATACTTTTACATTAACCACATTCGATATCAAAATGAAATTATAGTATTATTATACTCGAGAAACAAGGCAAAAAAAAAAAACTGTGATCATTGGCGTGATACTACCTATGTTGTTGGTTCTTCATGCGGTGACATTCAGTACAAAAGCAACAGAACAACAGCAGACAGTCGTCTGATTGACAGAAGGTGCTAGCCATCTTAGCACTTTGCAGATGCACCTGGCTGTTGTGTATGAGATCACCAGTACCTTTCCCAGCTTGGAAAGTTTAACGCTATGGCATCTGGCATGCGTGGACGCCGCGGAGGCCTTTTTCAGAAGATGGCTCGGTAGAGGCTCAGGAGAAGGACAGTGTTCGTTATCCTGGCCATTTCCAGATGGATCTGGCTGTATGTATTCGATCACCGGTACCTTTCCCAGCCCCAGCCTACCGTCTTCATCAGAATAGAACGCCCGGTAATTATTGCTGTATCTGGACTGCAAGTTGCACCAAATACAGCTATAATGACCCGGCGTTCTATTCTGGTGAAGACGGTAGCCTAGAAAGTTTGACCTCGGGCATGCGGCGGAGAGACATTTTTCAATGCTCGATGGAGACTCCCGAGAGGTACGTTTGGACACCGTTGAGGGGGCGGGGCGCCAGTCGAGGGGTCCCGCTGGGGGTGGAGGGTACAGTTCGCAGACTGCCATGCAGGAAACAGAATTTCAACACGCCATATATATTTGCCAAGAAACGAATGACAGACAGGAAGCAGACAAACAAAAAGAAAACAGAAAGCCCAAGCGGGCTAGCTCAGTTGGTTGAGCACGTAAGTGGCACGCAGGACGTCGTGGGTTCGATACCCAACGCCGTCCTTTCAATCCCGCACCGCTTCCTGGGGCATATATGCTTCCGGTTCGGGTCGGGCCTCGTGGCTGGTTGTGGAAGCGATTTACGCACTTTCCAGCCGGCGTCACGTGTTATGAGGCTCCTGGCTGGTTGTGGATACTGCTCTCCGCATAGAGTAGAGGTGGTTGCTGCACAGTAGGTAGTGTCTGGTGGGACCCAGAACCCTGTGGGACCCATAACCCTGTCTCCTTTGCCTAGTGTATATTAGCTAGTGCCTAGAAAATGCAGCTGTCCCCCAATGACGAGAAGACCACCTGCATGAAACAAAAAAAAAAAAAAAAAAGGGGGTGTTTGCCTACGATCCCTTAGCACCGTACTTGCTGCTCATTTTACAAAACTCTACTTCTCTGCTACTACCTCTCCGTGCATCACTGCTACTACCTCTCCGTGCATCACTGCTACTACCTCTCCGTGCATCACCGTTTCCCACCCACTCATGCATGTCATGCCCCTCCCAGAGTCCCAGTCACATGCGCTGAGGTGGCCCAAATCCATCATTATCTTTTACTCTTTGAGTTTGGTGGTCTAACTTCTGGGAGATGTCGACTCCTTGTCGAGGGCATAAATGGTAAATGCTGTTTGGGGGGTTTAAACTTTAAAGTGGCTCCAATTCTGACGTGGTGCGCATAATTTATGTCGTTTTATTTTCAATTTTCTTTTCAACTTACCGAGTAGTTTGCAAGCGACCCCCTCGGTCAAAAGTAGTTTGATCCCCAAACTACAACCCCGACGTGATATCTGATACATACTACGACAATCAGATAAATCATTAAACCACCAGTACTTGGCCCAGCTATCGGCCGCGGAAAAGAATAGAGTAGAATCATTTCTAGTTGGATGAATCTGGGCGCTCCTGTAGTGGCCCGTACGTTTCCTAAAATCACGTAGCGTTAACGGGCACGACTTTAAGAAGTACTGGTGGTTTAACTTATGGTTACAAAATATAACACAAGGTTACCGGTTGCGGCTTCTTCGCCCACAAAAAAATGAAGGGAAGAGGGTGCAAATGAGGGTGAGTGGGGGGTTGTTGGTCCGTGTGTGGGTTTGGGTGGGGCCGCGGTGTTTTTTAGGCTCACCTGTGCACTGTTGTTGACACCGCCGATGGAATGCTGCTACTGGTTTGTATGCCTTGAATATATGTTCTTTTTTCTTTTTTTTTTTTGCTTTTTTGTCCTGTCAGAGACCTGATAACAGTTGTGGTTTGCTGGGTAGGTGGTGGTTCGGATTTGAACTCACCTGTTGTGTGTGTCACACGTTGCATACCTGTCTCCCGCTCACCACAAATATTCTTTCTCAGATGTAGGGAGATACACAATTCTGTGATCATGTCACTCGTGTGGGGGGGGGAAAGGGCAGGCCGTGTAGTTAGTTAGATTGGGGTCTCTCTCTCTCTCTCTCTCTCACACACACACACACACACACACACACACACACACACACACACACCACATGCTATTTCTTTTAAAGGTCTCGATGGACCACGGATCAGATATGAAACTGATCAGAGCAGATACTAAACTGGATCGTGGGGGCTGGGGTGGCATGTAGGGAGTTAGATTGGGCAATCTCTCTCTCCCTCTCCCCCGAGTCTTGTTTCAACCATCTCGATGGACCTCTCTCTCTCTCTCTCTCTCTCTCTCTCTCTCTCGCTCGCTCTCTCACACACACACACACACACACACACACACACACACACACGCGCGCGCGCACGTGCACGTGTAGTGGTGTATGTTTCTATGTTTTAACGGAATATTCGTTCGATTTTGGTCATCCTATAGATGGAAGTGGCGTCTTATCTGTTGGCCGGTGTGCTCCTCATCCTATCAATGGAAAACTGTGTTCCTCATCCTATGATGGAAAACTCTCTCTCGCGTCTTATCTGTTGGACGGTGTGTTGCTCATCCTATAGACGGAAAACTCTCTCTCTCTCTCTCTCTCTCTCTCTCTCGTTTGTGCACGCGTTTCAACCCCGCGGCTAGCCTCAGGCTCATACCTGGCGGAGGTGGCCCGTGGATAAAACCGTTGGATAAGAAGTTGTGCAGGATGAGAGTGGAGTGTGCGACTACTGCCTGTGTGGCGGATGCCTTGTGTGGTGTTGTGTGTGTGTGTGTGTGTGTGTGTGAGTTGAAGGACACTACAGCCATGCAGGGTTGGGGTGAATATCACAACCGGCATGGATTCACTTTTTGTACACCGTGTCATGGCTGTAGTGGTTAAGAGACTCGGCTCATGAGGCTGAGGGCGCCGGTTCGAATCCGTGCTTGCACGGAGGAGGTCCTATGGCTGATAATGTACACACACTCATTGATGGGATGAGCAAACTCGAATGAACCGTCCGCTAGAACATCAACATGTACACTACTACACGCGTCTGTGTGTGTGTGTGTGTGCGCATGTGTGTGTGTGAGAGAGAGAGAGTGTATTACCATCGATAGGATGACCAAAATCGAATGGATCTACCGCTAGAACATGGAATTATACACGCTACAACATGGAAATATACACGGAGAGAGAGAGAAAGAGAGGGTACTTCCATCGATAGGATGAGCAAAATCAAATGAATCTACCGCTACAACATGGAAATATTCGATGCCGCACATTTTTATTTTTTTATTTTTTTTTGTGTATGACACACACACACACACACACACACACACACACACACAGAGAGAGAGAGAGAGAGAGAGAGAGAGAGAGAGAGAGAGAGAGA